TCCCCAGCGCCGGATCGAGCGGTGGCGGTGGCGGATTGACTGGCGCGTTGGCGGATCGAGGCGGCGGCTGGGATCCATGCGGCGATGGCCGGGACTAATGCACCACATCCCGTCATTCTCCGATGCGCCGCTGCGCTTCTTCTCCCCCACCAACTGGCCTCGAGCTCGCCGGATCCGCACGGCAGTGACGACCTCAACCTTCACTGTGATGGCAATGGCGCGAGAGCTTGAGTTGATGGCGAGCTGGAGCGACGGCATAGGACGACACAGCTAACCCACGCGCATCCCCATCGATTCCTCTGGGCGCCAGAGTGGTGCCTCTGACAAGGGTGCGCAGACCTCCTGCAGCATTTGCGCACCCCTGCAGAGACGCGGCTCCTTCCGACGTGGCACGAATTTTCGCTTTCGGAGGTGTGAGACCACACTCCAGGGTGGAGCATTGAGCATGCCCTTACTAGCCAAATTTTCTTTTTCTTTTAAATTACAGGTGTATTTGATTGTAAGCTACAGTTTGCCATGTCTAAGGTTAGACAAATTTGATAGGTGTTTGGTTGTAGTCATAGTTATGGCAAGATTCCCTTCTAACAAATTGGATCCCATATGTCAATGATTCAAAAAAAAAAGTGTTGCAAGATTCTCTTAGACTTAGTAAGTTGTCGCTAAGAATTTGATCACCTCACCTTGGTGACCTGTGGCAATTTTTATTGGCAAGTAATGGCGAAGTGTGGGTCTTTTTCCAATCAAAATGTATGGTTACATATGTGACACGTGTCAATATGAAATCAAAATAACCTTCTTTCGTGATCAACAAGTCACCAGCACTACAATAGAAGTCAATATGAAATCAAAAGAAGTCACCAGAACTACAAAAGATAGAGGATAGCACAACATACAAATAAATATTCCAGCTCTCAAGAAGGATATTGCTGACATAGTAGACAGCAAAGCAGTACACCTTCTAGTGACCATAACAGCTAAGCTAAGCTAGACACACAGACGAGAAGGAAAAGAACAACAAAAATCAGAATCGAGATAGCGATCGATATACCGATCGGCGATTTTTCTTTCCTCCCCAAGTTCTGTTGTTCCATCATGCCATCTCTCTACTCCTATGAAAGTTGATCGTCCATCCTCTCCTTCCCCTCTCTCCCTTTCATACAACAAAAGAAAATTTTTATAAGACCTCTAGTGATAATAATGTTTCGGCTCATTTCGTCCATTGCTCTGCACTCCTTTCATTGATTTTTTATAAGACGCAGCCTGATTCGGTTTGGTCTAATAAACTCTTCCGTTTCAGGTTATAAGACTTTCTAGCATTGCCTATATTTATATAGATGTTAAATCTAGACACAATTACTAGAAAGTCTTATGACCTGAAACGGAGGTAGTAACTTTAAATTTGCCCTACAATCTATTTTTATGGTACCAAATCCTGGTCATATGAAAAGTACCTATGAACATAAATCCAGTGTTATCATGTTTATAGTATTTTGGACCAACATATATGAAAAAAAAAACTTAGAGGCGTTTTGTATCGTAAGATTTACCCCACCAAGATTGTGGACTATGGATGCCTTCACCTTTCAACGAGATTTCAGTAGAGACAAATTATAGATAGATAGTAGACACTTTCACCTCTAAACGAGAACCGAGGTAATTAATATGGCAGAGCAAAATTCCACCCTAGAACTGCTCTTTAGGCTCTGTTCGTTTCCTGGAGTTCCCAACTCCCCCATCTCATTTTCCGCGCGCACGCTTTTCAAACTGCTAAACGGTGTGTTTTTTGCAAAAAGTTTATATACGAAAGTTGCTTAAAAAATTATATTGATCCATTTTTGAAAAAAAAAATTAGCAAATAATTAATTAATCACGTGCTAATGGACTGCTTCGTTTTCCGTACCGGAGGGATGGGTTCCCAACTCAACCAAAAGAACAGAGGATGCGGGCAACGAGCTATGTTTGCCACGTCACATGGACATACTCACGAGTTTATACAATCTTTTATAATCCCTCTTAATGTATAACGTCGTTGATTTTTTAATCAACGTTTGACCACTCGTCTTATTCAAAATTTTTATGTAAATATAAAAATACTTATGTCATGCTTAAAGAACATTTGATGATAAATCAAATCACAATAAAATAAATTATAATTACATAAATTTTTTGAATAAGACGAAAGGTCAAACGTTTGTCAAAAAGTTAACGGCATCATACATTAAAATACGGAAGGAGTATAATGGATAGAAATCAACCTGATCTCTACATTTACGAGTAGATATATTCTTCTAATTTTTCAGGACCCTATTTCTTTTTCTTGATTCCCATGAAGGCTTTGATGCATTGCTTCCTAGGTTAATCTTTTAGTCTTGATCACTTTTTGAGAAATTATGTGTTTTCCATTAACAACTAATTTATTCTAATCAATCGTAGTCAAGGACGAATTTATGTTCTACTAAATGCCATTGCACTTTTTTTTTCTTTTTTCTTTTTGTCATTGCCAATAGCCTCAACCTATGAAAAAAAATACATTTTTACATATAGAATGGACATAACACTTTGAAGATGAGATACAGTACTAGGGGTAAATGGACAATTTGACAAGGTAACCCAGTACAATTGACAGGAGGCTCACACCGATGGTAAAAAGGAAAGGAAAGAAAAAGATACTTATGCAATGGCATTTCATATAACTTACGTTTGACATTAGCGATTCTCAGAATCAATCCTTTGCAAGTGAAATTAAGTAGAATTTCTCACTTTCCTATATGCTCTTGTTGAACAACTAACATTAGGACAGTCACTTGCTTACGGTTTTTTTTCCTTGACAATTCTATTCCTATCCTTAATCTAACCAAAATTGTTTAAATTATCAAGAAAAATCCATGCCATGTCCATGGAGAACTGCATATACATGGATTATACTACATATACATTCTAAATAATGAGAGAAAGTTTACCAGTATAAAGGAGGATACAGATTTTCCCAACAACAATTTGGCTAGCCAAATCTGAACAACATTAACAACAAGCTTGAGGTGCAGTGAGGCTGAGAAGAACCTTCAAACAGAAGGAGGCCACAAAACCATATACGTGGAACTTACCTTACAAAATGACAGTCAATCACCATTTTTCTTTAGCATTAAATGAGAAGGCAATATGGATCCCCGCAGATCTTAGGCTTGAGGACATCAACGATGGGAGCACCGATATCCATGACGCCTGTGACCACCACACACTTTTCTGGAGAGCGATTTCTCTAACAACCCTCCCTCACCTTTGTGCCTCGGGATGAACTTTCCGGGTAAAAACTTATTTCTAGATGTCCAGAATAGCAACGACAAGTTGTGAAGCTCCCACACCTCAATAGCCCCATTCGAGCCGTGTTACCGTTCCAAATTGATCTATATATTTCATATATACATAAAGACAAAAAAAAAACTAATAACTCTTTCATACTATATTTACTCTAGCAACAAACTCAATACATGCATCATCCTCACTACTTTCTAGCCAATAGCAAATCAAGATATTACATGTGGGTTATAAATACTTTTGTATATAGATGCATGCATCAATGTCCATTTACTCTAATGCACAAATAACGAATAGACTTAATGAATGAACACAGATATATAGATCATTTAGGATATCAATTTGGAATGGAGGAAGTATTATCTATTTAATTATGAGAAATATATTAGTCCAAATTAACATATATGTAGAAAATAAAAAACAATATGAAAGAATTACGGAAATACGTACTAATGTCGTTATCATATATAATACAATGAAAAAAGAAGACCATAGTCAAATGCTTTATTATTGAGAAAAATGATGGTATTATTTTTATCATCTTTTAGAGGAATCTATCTAACCATAGTTAATCAGCCCGTATTAGTAGAAGTATGTATCGTCGTGCATCAACATATCATATATCATGAGATTATTAGTTATAGCTAAGTACACTGGTGTAATCATACTTAGCATATCACGAGACTATCGGGTAATGGACAATTATCTTTAATTGTGCTAGAGAAAAAAAATACTTCATTCGTCCCATAAAAAACCAAACCAACCTAGATCTAGTAAAACGAATCTAGACATACATATGTTCAAAATTTATTGTACTATAATATGCCACACCAGTTCTACATTCGTTTTTTTTAACAAAAGGAGTAAATTACAATCCATACTATGTATTCTTAAAAATTCTTACAAGTTTTCATATAACGTTATCCTTTAACCATTTTTATTTACACAATAGCTAACTTTACATTTTAATTTGGAGCACCATATTCTATCCATCTCCAAGTCCAGTGACTCAGTAATCCCTTTGCACATTAACTCTCTCTCTCTCCATTTTCTTTTTCCATCCGACAGTTGGATAACCGATATATCTAGCAAGAAAGAGCCCGGATATAGCGCCTTCGCTCTTCGTCGGGTCAGCTCCTACCTTCCAAAGTCCCTGCAAGCTCGACATCTCCGACCTCAATGGTAACCATAACAACAATAGTGCGCATCACGATAGGGGAGAAGAAAAAGACTTGTTGGTTACTAGAGGTTAAGGCTGCGCATGTAAAGGCAAAGGGGAGGAACGATGGTGGCTCATGGAGAAAGAGCGGTGATGGCGGTGGGTAGAGTGGCAGTTAGCGGTTGCTGGTAGTATGAGGAATTTGTTGTTGACACAATCGTTTAAATTTTTCCTAAGTATTGATGATACATGGGTCACCAGTTATATAAAGAAATAGCACTAGCTAGTTTTAAAATACTACCTTGTTCCAAAATAAGTGTCAAAACTTTTGATCGTCCCTCTTTGAAAAGTTTATGAAAAAATTAAAATAAATTAGTCACACGTAAAATATTATTTATGTTTTATTATCTAATAACAATGAGACAAAAAATTAAACGTTGGACGTGAACGTATCAAGCTGCACTTATTTTTGAGACTAAGGGAGTGGGAAATAAAAATAATGAGATAAGGGCGGAGTAGTCGAGTATCGCGTTAAAAGAAAAAGAAACCTCTCGTTGTCTCCTCCGCTCCTCGCCTCCTTGCGCCGCCGCCAAGACGAGTCGCGGCTGAACAGGGGGAGGGCCGGGCGGCGATCTCCATCGCAGCGGAGGGGAGGGGATCCTGGTGCGTCCTCTTTCTGATTCATCTCTCTCTCTCTCTCTCCCACCCCACCGGGACTGGAATTTGCGGGATTGCGTTCGTGAACCCTACTAGCTTCTCTTCTAGATCTTCTCCTCCTCCTCCTTAATTTGATAGCCTTAAACCTCTCTTAAATAATTCAAGTAATAACAGTTTGTTTGTTTGTTCACCCAAAAGTTTGGGGGTTCAACTGAACTGAACCCCCATGTCCCAAGTTGGATCCGCCCCTGGCCTATAATAAGATGTGGCGCTGTAACAATGCAACTAGCTGTAGGGTGACAGTAGGATAATTCCATATCAACTTAGTGTGTGCTTATATGGTTAATCGTCCACTTATTGCCATCACATTTCTTATATAGTGTAAATCAAGTTTGATGTTAATTGGAAATTGCAATTTTTTGGGCCAGGGGACCCCATACCCCTGTCATTATACTTGATACATGTCCAGAACAGCTTGAATTTGACAGCTAAGTAAGTACTCTTGAGTTGTATCCATAATTCACCCTAAAAGAATTGTATATATTGATTGTTGTGATATTTATCCCCTTAGATATATGCACTGAGAATATATATACATTATTGACCTTGATTGCTAACTCTTGAGAATGTATTACGGCATATATAACAAGAGAGTTTTTTTTACCTTCTTGAAGGTGGTTCAACTATTGTATAGCAGTATGTTGGATTGTTGATGTTCAGAATTTTGATATCCTAGCACGATTCCCCCTCTCGCCGCCTCTTGCCCAAGGAGAACGTCGACCACGCCGTGGTCCAGGCTCTCAGCATCGGTGCCACTATTATCTGCCTAACGCTACACGTCCAGGTATGGAACTACCCCCTCCCCATACTCCTTCCCCATGCTAACCCTGCCTGATCCCCAATCTCTCGATGGCAAAAGAAATCAGTGCCCAATCTGATTCACACCTGCCTAAACTTGGCTGCGCTGCTATACAATGGTGTTAATTTGTTGTTTCGAATAAATCTCACATTTATACTGAATAAACATTTTGAAGGCCGAGAGATACTAACTGATCTATGATGTTCAAGGAAACATCGATTCACCATTAGTATGGGCATACTGTGGACTTCGTAATTTACCATACTTATTGAATTTTGCAGATTAGTGATGGCAATCCTAATTTCATCCTATTTGCTTGGTACACATAGAGGAGCTTAGCAGGATTATTTACTGGAGTAGAATTTCTTCTCTTTTTTTTGTTTATATTAATGCTAATTGTGTATCTCAATTGTGTGTAAAAAAATATATAAGAAAGCCTAAAATTTCAATACACATGTAGCAACTGAGTTGGTAATCTATCAATTGCAGAAAAGATAAAAAGGACTAAAGTTGGCCATGTAGTCTTGGCCCAAGGATTAACTAAGCCCCTACATCTGTATTAAAATTCTATGTTTTTTTCTTTTTATTACTTTACATAACTCACAGTTTAAATCCTTTGCAATATATTGTACAGTGCGTATTATTAGGAACAGTAGCACTTGTCTAATTTTGCATGTTTTCTTGTATGAAAACATCAACTGTCTTATAACTTCTCATGGATGGTTCCTAGGGTCATACTGGATTTCAAGAGAAGAAAAAAGGTTGTTCAAGAACATAAAAAAGGGATGAGACTAGGAAGCATAAATGGACTGCGGTGCAAGCAGCTTAAACTTGTCATTCTTGCTTTTTTCATGATGTTTCTTCTCTGGAAATGGGAGAGAGGAACATACTACACTACTGAAATCCTCCGGCCAGATTCATTGATTTTGGCTCATCCAGGTCATTTTACGCATACTGAAATATTTTGACTCCATCCTTTTCATGTTACACCTATATTTATTCTCATTTTGTTCCAAATTTTTGTAGCTAACTCAAAGTTTGTAGATCAGCATACATCATCCGAAGAAGACTTTCCGAATGCAGATACATTGACACAATCAGTAGTTAAAGTAGAACAGCAAGTAAGTGATGCACCACCACCGATGTCCATAGCAAGTGATTCTGCTGATGTTGCGGATGAAAGGGAACCACCGCCTTCTGGGAAGAAAGGTATTGTTCATCTTCTGTAACTGCAGGAAGAGCCATTTCTTCTCCGAGCATGCTAGATCTAATATGCTTGCATTCTAGTTGAGAAGATCTTTTTCTTGCCAATGTCCTTTTACATAAGATAGTGTGGGTTGTTTAGTCCTTCGTGTTATGTTCACCTAATGTACAATTTATTACCTTACAGATTGTAACTACGGAAATGGAAAATGGGTTTCTGACAACAACAGACCACTATACTCCGGTTTCGGCTGTAAACAATGGCTTTCCGAGAGCTGGGCCTGCAGACTAACCCAGCGCACAGATTTTGCTTATGAAAAATTTAGATGGCAACCTGAAGGTTGTGAGATGCCAGAATTTGAGGCCTCACAGTTCTTGACGAGGTATGTGGCCGTTGCTTATCCATGAATAAGGATTATATATACTGCACTCACTGGCTTGACACTGGCTTGATATAATTGTCTGAATCATTTAGGTGAATTCTAATTTTGACATATTTCAGAATGCAGGATAAAACCATTGCTTATGTGGGTGATTCTTTAGGGAGGCAAATGTTTCAATCAATGATGTGTATGGTCACTGGTGGAAAGGAGAGACTAGATGTGGAAGACGTTGGTGCAGAGTATGGTTTTTTCTTAGCTCCGGGTGCAAAAAGACCAGATGGCTGGGCCTACCGATTCCCAAGAACTAATACAACCATTTTATACCATTGGTCGTCGACACTCTGTGATTTGGAGCCTCTGGATCCATCAGATCCAGCCACCAGTTATGCCATGCACCTTGATCGTCCACCTGCTTTTCTGAAGAATAACCTTCACAGGCTCCATGTTCTGGTTCTTAACACTGGTCACCACTGGAACCGAGGGAAGCTAAGGGCAAACAAGTGGGAAATGTATCTTGGGGGAGCACCAAACACTAACAGGAATACTGCTGTCATCTGGAAGGCCAAAAATATCACCATCCACACTGTTATTAAGTGGTTGGATACCCAACTTCCTCACCACCCACAACTGAAGGTGTTCTACAGGTCAATATCTCCTCGGCATTTCTTCAATGGAGATTGGAACACCGGGGGTCGCTGTGATAATACAAGTCCTTTGGCCAAGGGAAGTGGCATTTCCCAAAATCATTCCGATGACGCCGATGCCGAGGGAGCCGTGATGGGAACAAGGGTGAAGCTTTTGGATATAACTGCACTATCACGATTGAGAGATGAAGGGCATATATCGCGGTACAGTATCAAAGCCACGCAGGGAGTTCAAGATTGCTTGCACTGGTGCCTTCCTGGACTACCAGATACATGGAATGAGATCCTTGCAGCCCAGTTGTAGCTAAGTCTCTAGTTGAATGAGAAGAGCTAATGGTCAGAACCAACTTAGCTTGAGTTGTTATATACGGCGATTGCTAGTCTTCACAACAGAGCTTTTGTGCTGCTGCGAGAGGAACAGCAAAGCAGCAGTGGATTCTTTAGGAAGCTTTCGTTCCTGTAGCTAATGAGCTTCTTGTAATGTAGTAACCACCTTTTGTATTTTCTTACTGTGTATGGCCATTGAATTGATTGGCAGTAACGGAGTAGTCTTATAGATAAGTTATTTACGCTCTTGGAAATGCGTTTTGTGATTAACATTCTGCGATGAGCACTCATGTTTTGTTTCTCTAGCAGTATTATACTAATACACTAGGTGATACCTCGCACTTTGCTACGGAATTTATTGATGAATATATGTTAAATATTATAGAAATGATGAATATTGAAATATTGTGAAAATGACGTGGAAGATATTTGACATACTTCTATTTGAGCTTTATAATATTATATTATAGATTATGTGTCATGTTTGTATGAGATTTAAAGAATAATACTTGTGAGCAGGGTTAATCCTATCGGTTAGGCCGATTTGATCGGACCTCACTGAAATGCCAAAATTTCGGTCTGAAATTTCCGTAATTTTGAAAAAAAAACAGTTGAATTTGAACAAATATTACCAAAATTCATGAAAAAATTGAAAAATTGAAATTTTTTTGGCCGAAGTAATATCGTATTGGAAGGGACCGAAATAATCGAAATTTCCAACCTTGCTTGTGAGTGGGTGATGATGTGGTATATTTGCATGTTGAGTTTTAGCTTCTAATAATAATTGCTAGTGGGTAATAACTATGTTGTTCTATAGATATGTTCTCATGTCACTAGCACGGGATAGGTCATCTCAATCGGACGGACAGCCTCATCAGTGTCGGGTAGGGCTACCGTCACTAAGCCTGTCATCGATGAGTAGACTACTCATCGGTGACGGGCCTTAAATTCATCTCAATCGGGCCGTGTTTGTCGCCCGTCACCGATGACACTTATCCGTGACGGGCTTAAGTGCTGGGCCCGACAAAGATTGTAGAGATAATCTCAATCGGGCCTAAACGTACCCGTCACGGATGAGTCTCATCGATATATGTAACTCGGATATGTCTGTACGAGTGATCAATGACGGTGTTTATTTCGGCCCGATTGAGATGACTTCCTTGTGACGGCCCACAAAAGCCAAGCTCATATGAAAGGATGTGTACTAATGTGTAGTTTCCTCTTAGAGTAAGTTTAGTATAGCTAACTACTAGCTCCAAATCATCTATAGTCAATCTAATAGCTCATTTATATAATATACAATAGTTACCTATAAGAATATACTACACCATTAATATATGATCCCACCCCTCATACACAATTAGAGTCCGTGCTATTGTAGCTCACTTTCTTTCTCTATCTTCTCTTCTGTTCTCTACATGTATTTACAGCTGACTTATAGCCGTACTCGCTCTTATTGAATCAGTGAACATTCCTCGTATTAGAGCCAATAACATGTAGCTCCCGCTAAATAAATAATATATAATGTTGTTGATTATTTGGTGTACCGTTTGGCTATTTGTCTTATTCCAAAGTTTATATAATTTTTTTTCGTTGTGACTCATTATCATTAAAGAACTCTAACCTTGTCTTACTCAAAATCTTCCACGCCGCAGCTCCTCGTCGGGACACCGCTTGACGCGGAAGGCCTGTGACACATTGGGTTGCCACCGCCGCGGAGCTTCCTTACTTCCACCTGCCGTGGGAGAGTGTCGGTGACATGGGACCGGGAGTATCATGAATAGAGGCTTGAGACAGACACAATCGCCCACGTGGCCTGGCACCCTCGGGGGGCGTCGGGCCCGAGGGTGATGTGTTCGCCCTCCTCTTTGTCTCCCCGAGGGGGTCGGACCGCTCCCGCCTCAGCCCCGAGGGCCGAGGCGCCCCGACCCCTCGTGGGTTTTCGCTCCGCGTGTATGGGTTAGGTGAGCACAGTGGGGCTCACCTAACCACATTTATTGCGGTTTGGCTGAGCGTGTCACGCCGCATGTAACGCAGTGCAGTGCACTCATTTATTCGGTCTGTGACCAGTCACAGACCGGTCAGATCGCGGGTTAGGTGGCGACAGGCGATCTGACGCACGCCTCGCCCCATCCCGTCAGGACGAGGGCTTCTAGGCGCTCGTCCCCAGCTGGAGCTAGCGTGTTACCTCCCAGAGATGGCACGTTAGTCCTGGTCAGATATATGCCAGGCTTCATCCTAACCATTACAGGCAAAATGTTGTGTGAAGAAGGGCCAACGTACAGATTGCTAAGCTGACGCGTGGTGGACAAGAATGACCGATTTGTGACCAGTCTGACACCGGTCATGTCGTCAGCAGACAGCCATGATTCCGCGTCGCGCCTGCTCCCGGCGAAAGTGGAGGTAGGTGCGGGCCGTCCCATCAGAAGGTGACTCGAACGGCAACCATGCAAATCTCCGTCCATTTATGAAAAGGTAGGGTAAGTCCCCACAGAGAGAGGGGGATGGTGCATGTGGTATCCCCTTAAGATATAAAAGGAGGACCTTGCCCACTGAGAGGGAGGTTTTTGGGTTTTTGGACTGGACTTTTCCAGATTGGGAACCCAGAACAAGGGAGAGGCTGGCTGATACTTTGTAGCTCCTTCACACACAGATCTCCCAAAACACAGGAGTAGGGTATTACGCTTCTCAGCGGCCTGAACCTGTATACATCGCCGGCGTCTTCTGTGCTTCCTGTCTCGCGAACCTTCCACAGATTGGGAGCTTGGAGTCTCACCCAGGGTCCCCGGCCGAACCGGCAAAGGGGGGCCAGCGCGGTCTCCCGGTGAGGAGCCCCACGCTCCGTCATCTGGCGCGCCAGGTAGGGGACTCTGCGAGTGATCTTCTGAGCTCTTGCACTCTTTCGTGTGCGCCAAGCTTTTCCTGTTCAGCCTCATGGCTGAGCAAGCAAAGGCGCACGACCTCTCTCCGAGTGTGAGTGGCGACGACGGGGAGCCGAACCCACGCCGTCGAGCTCGTACTCCACCGCCCCCTCCACGCCAAAGTCCTAAGCAGGGGGAGGCGCTCGAGAGGGCCGAAGGATCCGCGACTTCGACATCCACAGGAGGTGGAAAGGGGCGGCGAGATGGGGAGCGTCGCTTCCTCGTCTATGGTGACGGCAGCACGCCCCAGGGCGCGCTCCAAGCTGCGGGCGCGCTCCTACGTCACCCGCCCGTCGCCCATGACCCGGAGTCTCCAGCCCAACGCTGGCTGGACGATGTGGCCAAATTGGTCATGACTGCACGGCAGTGTATAGATGCTGGTGGGCGGTCCTCCGCCACCAAGGCCTCTGGTGCTGCTACCACCGGCTCCGCGTCGTCAAGACGAAGGGCGCGGCGAGCGGCAGCCGCCGTTCGCCATTCGGCCACCACTCCTTCGTCGACTCCTTCGGCCCGGAAAGATCTGCGAGGGAGGCCGGACGCCCGCACCAGCATCGAGCGGCGGCGTAATGACCGACGTGCTACCCACGCAACGGAGGGCGCTTCCTCGTCCAGAGTGTCACCTCAGCACGGACGCGGGAATCAGCCCTCCGTGCCCCCGGTTGGTGGTGTCGGCTGTAGAGCCTTTGTGGCGAGTCTTCGGAATGTCCGTTGGCCCCCAAGGTTCCGGCCCACCATCGCCGAAAAATATGATGGCAGCGTCAACCCCGCCGAGTTTCTCCAGGTCTACACGACCGGGATTGAGGCCGCCGGGGGTGACGACAGGGTCATGGCGAATTTCTTTCCCATGGCCCTGAAGGGGCAGGCGCGGGGTTGGCTAATGAACTTGCCACCCGCGTCAGTCCACTCCTAGGAGGATTTGTGCCAACAGTTCACCATGAACTTTCAGGGCACATATCCGCGCCCAGGTGAAGAAGCGGACTTACACGCAGTACAGCGAAGGGATGATGAGTCACTTCGCTCGTACATTCAGCGGTTCTGTCAAGTCCGCAACACCATACCATGCATCCCTGCGCACGTGGTAATCTACGCGTTCAGGGGGGGCGTGCGGCACAACCGCATGCTCGAAAAGATCGCCTCCAAGGAGCCCCAGACTACCGCGGAGCTTTTTCAGCTCGCGGACCGAGTGGCTCGCAAGGAGGAGGCATGGACCTGGAACCCCTCCGGTTCCGGTGTGGCAGCTTCGGCCGCCCTCGGATCCGCCGCTCAGACAGGGCGGCGTGACAGGAGGAGGAAGAAGAGGTCAGCCCATACCGACGACGAGGGTCATGTCCTCGCCGTCGAGGGCGCTCCGCGGGCCACCCGAAAGGGGAGGCCTGCGAGCGACAAAAAGAAGGAAGCCGACGCTCCCTGACCTCGGCTACTTGGAAGAGCGAAGGCGGCGCGCGGCCCTTCGAGCCGCGCGCTACCAGCAGAGCCTGCGGCGCTACCATCAGCGCCACGTCCGGGCCCGATCACTCTGCGTCGACGACCTCGTCCTACGCCGTGTCCAAACGCGTGCTGGACTGAGCAAACTCTCACCAATGTGGGAGGGTCCGTATCGAGTGATCGGCGTCCCCCGGCCGGGCTCCGTTCGGCTGGCCACGGGCGACGGCACAGAGCTGCCTAACCCGTGGAACATCGAACACCTTCGTCGCTTCTACCCCTAGTGGGGGTCGGGTGTCAGGTCTTGGGCTCGGGCCAACTCCGCACCCCCCCGGGCGTGCAGGGTTGGCCGGGGGCTTATCTTTTTTCTCTTCCGTATTTCAATAAAAGCATTTTCGATTTCCTAAAGGCTGTGTCTGTGCTTTTGTTTCCTTTTGAAGAATCTTGACTTGAAATAGGTCACTCGTGCTCAATCCTACCCTCGGGGGCTCGGGTCGGCTAAAATCGCCAAAAGGGGCCCAGAACCGAGCCATGCCCCGGGACGTGGTGAACTCCGGGGGGGAATCGGCAAAAACCCACAATCGGGTCACCCATAACCCTCGGTCACCACGCTCCCGGCCTGGCCAGTCTCGACATGTGGATCTCCCCAGGCACTAGCCTTGACCCGCGCCGTTTGAGGCTGGGGCCTGGGCACGAGCCCTTGTTCAAGCCAAGACACAGAAGGACCGTGGCACAGACCATCCTCGTCTCATACACAGAACAAATGAAATTGACACAAAAATTTCCTCTTTATTTGATTGCAGATTAAATCAGCCTATAACAAGAAGGGGGCCCGAAGGCCTCGGAAGAAGAAGGAAAAGCTATTAAGATTGGCGGAGGCCTGGGGGCTCACTCCGACGCGCCCGGGTAGCCGGCCTCGCCGTCGCTGTCGTCCGCACCGTCGTCACCGCACTCCTCGTCGGGGTTGAAGGCAAACGCGAGCCGAGGGGCCGCTCATTATTGTCGGTCGTTTTTCCCTTGCTGATGCGCGCGATTTGCGACCGCCGGGATTCTGCCCGAAGAGAGAGAGAGCAGGGAGGAGAGGCCCCCGAGCCGAACGGCGGCCCAAGGCCCCCGACGGCCGGAGCTGGCCCTCCGCCTGCTTGTCCGACGGTGCCAGGCGCCCCCGACCCCCAGGATGGCCCCGAGGCCACTGCGGGAAGGCCGCGCCTGTCGCCCTCTGACCCCGAGGTCGTCGGCACAGAAGCCGAGTGCGCCCCGCGTGGCCTCTCGGATGGAGAGCGCCCTGGAGATGTGGCCCCTGACGAAGAAGATCGGCCCCGCCGAAAGGTGCAGCGGCCCGTCTACTTCGTTAGCGAGGCCCTCCGGGACGCTGAGACCCGATACCTTCAGGCCCAGAAGATGCTTTACGCTATCCTGATAACTTCGAGGAAGTTGCGCCATTATTTCCAGGCGCATCGGGTCACGGTGGTTACGTCTTATCCCCTCGGCCAAATCTTGTATAACCGAGAGGGTACTGGACGGGTGGTGGAATGGGCAATCGAACTCTCTGAATTCGATTTGCGCTTTGAACCAAGCCACGCGATCAAGAGCCAGGCCCTCGCCGACTTTGTGGCGGAGTGGACCCCAGCTCCCGAGCTCGTCTCCGCCCCCCAGGCCAGCTCGAGCCCATCGCAGCTGCCTCACACCGCCCTCTGGGTGATGTAGTTCGACGGCACCTGTAGGAACCGGCCCCACCTGTCACCAGGCCTTAGAAGTGGCGTCACGCCCGACCGCTTCCCTCGGGGAGGGCGATCGCCCTGGCATAACGCCGGGGGCTACTGTCGGTGACATGGGACCGGGAGTATCATGAATAGAGGCTTGAGACAGACACAATCGCCCACGTGGCCTGGCACCCTCGGGGGGCGTCGGGCCCGAGGGTGATGTGTTCGCCCTCCTCTTTGTCTCCCCGAGGGGGTCGGACCGCTCCCGCCTTGGCCCCGAGGGCCGAGGCGCCCCGACCCCTCGTGGGTTTTCGCTCCGCGTGTATGGGTTAGGTGAGCACAGTGGGGCTCACCTAACCACATTTATTGCGGTTTGGCTGAGCGTGTCACGCCGCATGTAACGCAGTGCAGTGCACTCATTTATCCGGTCTGTGACTAGTCACAGACCGGTCAGATCGCGGGTTAGGTGGCGACAGGCGATCTGACGCACGCCTCGCCCCATCCCGTCAGGACGAGGGCTTCTAGGCGCTCGTCCCCAGCTGGAGCTAGCGTGTTACCTCCCAGAGATGGCACGTTAGTCCTGGTCAGATATATGCCAGGCTTCATCCTAACCATTACAGGCAAAATGTTGTGTGAAGAAGGGCCAACGTACAGATTGCTAAGCTGACGCGTGGTGGACAAGAATGACCGATTTGTGACCAGTCTGACACCGGTCATGTCGTCAGCACCGGTCATGTCGTCAGCAGACAGCCATGATTCCGCGTCGCGCCTGCTCCCGGCGAAAGTGGAGGTAGGTGCGGGCCGTCCCATCAGAAGGTGACTCGAACGGCAACCATGCAAATCTCCGTCCATTTATGAAAAGGTAGGGTAAGTCCCCACAGAGAGGGGGGGATGGTGCATGTGGTATCCCCTTAAGATATAAAAGGAGGACCTTGCCCACTGAGAGGGAGGTTTTTGGGTTTTTGGACTGGACTTTTCCAGATTGGGAACCCAAAACAAGGGAGAGGCTGGCTGATACTTTGTAGCTCCTTCACACACAGATCTCCCAAAACACAGGAGTAGGGTATTACGCTTCTCAGCGGCCCGAACCTGTATACATCGCCGGCGTCTTCTGTGCTTCCTGTCTCGCGAACCTTCCACAGATTGGGAGCTTGGAGTCTCACCCAGGGTCCCCGGCCGAACCGGCAAAGGGGGGCCAGCGCGGTCTCCCGGTGAGGAGCCCCACGCTCCGTCAGAGAGAGAGTGGGATAGAGAAGGAAGGGAGAGAGAGTGAGGGGAGTATGACATGTAGGCCTCACTTTATTTTTTACTTTCTCCGTTTCACAATGTAAAACTTTCTAGCATTGCTCATATTCATTTAGATGTTAATGAATCTAGACATCTGCATGTGTTTAAATTCATTAACATCTATATGTATATGGGTAATGCTAGAAAGTCTTACATTGTGAAACAGAGGGAGTATTTCCTTTGACGATTGTGATGCTACGTGAATGCTACGTCAGCAAATACCACTGTCAATATTGCCTTGGGAGTTAAATTGTACCGGTTTTAATAGTTGGAGGGTCAACATATATATATATATATATATATATATATATATATATATATATATAATATTGCGGTTGAGAATACGAATCAGAACCACTAGTAGGGAGTCCAAGTGGACTTATTCCTTTAGTCAATGGCCGGTCCTGCTCGTGAAGCCCAATATAAATTCATCATACGGGGAGAAATTTAAACTTTGCAAATTAGTTTGAGATTAGTTGGAAACTTAACGTTTAACAAAACCACGCCAAGAAAACATGAAATCGAACCACTCCAAAAGAGACTCTCCCTTTAGCAATAAGGTATTTATATTTTTCCATGTATATAAAAAGTTTGAATCATAATAAATATATTCATGTCTGGTGCATATATGTAAGGAATGGATACAAATAAACTAAAATGATCTGGCGTACGTATATATCATTCTCTTTTTCTTTTTTTTTTACCTAAAATCCATCACAATACAAGTATACGACTCCAGAGTATATTGCTTGTCATATATGCATGTGGATACTCTCTTATGTAATAATTAATTTCAAATAGTAATTAACTACAATTACCATGTTGTATCTGTTAACTTCCATACATAATTGATTATAATTAAGGTGCCCTCTATCTCTTTGATTTTGTACTCTAGAATGATTATCTGCGGCTCTAAATTACCTTATAATTCATGACACCATGAAGCTATATATATACACATACACATTATTAGGTTAACTTGTACTTGTAAGAAATACAATTAGCCAGCCATTAGCCATTCTTTCTTCGATTCCATTTTTCCATATTAATCAAGCTCCAAGCCATGGCCAGCATCAACCACCATCTCCTCCTCGCCGCCGCGGCCGCCGTCCTTCTCCTCGCCGCCGCCGCCACCGCCACGGCCTCCCGTGTCACCGTCACCAGCTTAGCGAACACGACGTCGTCGTCGGTGGCTGCCCTCGGCAGCAGTGGCATCATCGCCGGCGGCCGAGCGGCGAACGCGTCGGCGAACACGACGGCGGCGGCGGAGCCGACGGTGTACGAGATGCTGGGGAAGTACGGGTTCCCGCCGGGGATCCTGCCGGCGGGCGCGCAGGGGTACACGCTGGACGCCGGCGACGGGTCGTTCCAGGTGACCCTCCCCGGCGACTGCGTCGTCGACGTCCAGGGGTACAAGCTCCGGTACCGGAGCAACATCTACGGCAACGTGCGCGCCGGCTCCATCGACGGCCTCGACGGCGTCAGCGTCAAGATCGCCATCGTCTGGGTCGGCATCCACGACGTCGAGGCCGACGGCGGCGACGTCACGTTCCACGCCAGCGCCATCTCCAAGTCGTCGCCAGCCGACGGATTCCAGACCAGCCCCAGCTGCCAGTGATCGCCGACGTCGGCGACGGCGGCGCGGCGGCGGTGTCGGCGGCGGCGGCTTCACCAGCTAGCTCGTGATGCATATTGCAATTCAGTGTTGCTCTGGATGCTAGCTAGCTGCTTAATTATATATTAAAGTTTACTAGTAGTTTATTACTGCTGTTAGGTTTTTTGAAATAGTTTAGCTGGAAGCCTGGAACTAATTAAGCAATTTACAGGTTAATTTGAATGCCATCGATTGATTCTGTGATGTTCTGTTATTCTTGTGATTGCAAGTTTGAATTATTACACTATATATGTCATCCCACCTACAAAACTATCGTGTTCAACTGTTCAGATGTGCAGTAACTAAAAAACAAATATACTTGAAGAAAAATGAAAATGTAGAATCGCCTGCGGCCAGCGTTGTGAAATTTAAAACGAAATTTTCAAACAAAAAATGAATTTAATCAACAAAATTACAGAAATTTGACCCACGGGCCACGGGCCTCACATCCTCAGCTTTGGATCGCATCAAAGTCCATCCAATCCAATGCAGAGGATGAGAGGCCCGTGGCCATAGATGTACCTAGAAAGTTGGCCGCCATCGCCGGCGATTGTTATGCAATTAACGTATACTCCCTTCGTCTCAAAATATAAGCCCTATTTTTTTTCACTGTTTTCAATGATATATTTTGATTATTAATTTATTTCATGTTATGTTTTGAATGAATAGAAATTAGCATCATATGAAAATACTTCAAAATATGAATCTATAGAGATAGAGATATGGTTAATATTATTATTGGTCAAAAAGCTACCGATTTGATATATAGTGTAAAAAAAAGAGGGAAAACTCGCTTAAATTATGGACCCTACCTCAGATCTCAAACATGAAATAGGTGTGGGCTTATTATTTTTTATTTGTGCCAATCAAAATTTAAACTTGAGACATATGGTTCAACGTACTACCGTATTGAATTGCATGTTCCCACTACTAAAAAACGAACATACAGATGACAGATCAATACTATAATTACCGAAAATGGTATAACCGTCACCTATATTACTTTTCCGGCCCACGTGCTTGCCCACGGAAGAGACATTACCACAAACCGGCACCTTTCTCCTCAAATAGGTGCCAGTTTTTTAAATAGAACTGGCACAGATTTACCCTGTTAGAGAAAGGTGCTGGTTTTGAACTTAAAATCCAGCACCTTTCATTTCCGTCTCATCGGAGTAGTTGACGTGGGGCCCACAATAGAACTGGTAGCTTTGAGGCAGTCAGAGAAAGGTACTGGTTGAACTAAAGAACCAGCACCTTTGAGCCCTCCATCCCTGGAAGTAACTGTTGGAGGGCCCACTAAGTACAAAAGTTTAAGGTAATGTAATGAGCAAAGAATAGGAAATTTACTTGTATACTACAACATTTCTAAGTACCACTAACACATACACATGATGCATCATCTCAATTTCATGGCAAAGAGATCGTTGCTCGCAGAAAGTTAGTGGGGGTGAAAACTCTCTTTGCCGAGCGCCTTGGAGCAACTGGATAAATAACAACGGCGGCGCTTCCTTTGGGCTGGCACGGGGGACATCACGGGTGGAAAATGTAAAGGTAAGGACGTGCATGCCAACCAGATAGGGAGGCCTCAGCATACTGAGCTTGGAGAAATTCACAAGGGCATTTCGGCTGCGCTGGCTATGGCATGAATAGAAAGACCCGAGCAAGCCTTGGGTGGGCCTCGAGATGCCTTCTGATGAAATTGACAAGACCCTCTTCGCAGCGGCAACAAATCTATCGATCGGCAATGGAAACACAGCTCGCTTCTGGGACTCGCCTTGGGCTGATGGACGTAGGCCAAAAGACGCCATGCCACTTGCTTACGCAATCTCTAAGAGAAAAGGAAAATCCTTACGCTAGGGAAAGGAGAACGACTCATGGGTTGGAGATCTGGACCTAGAAGCGATCCCGCCAATCGCGCTTGAGCTCATTGATCAGCTTGTGGCCTTGTGGATTGCGGTCCGCAACGTGCATCTGAGTGACGAACAGCCCCATCAGATCGGTTGGAAGTTCACCAGTGACAGACACTACTCGGCATCCTCAGCTTATCAAGCGCAATGTTTTGGGGGTTCCAGCACAACCTTCGACTCGCTGATCTGGAAGGTCTGGGCACCTGGGAAATGCAAGCTTCATGCCTGGCTTATTATCCAAAACAGAGTGTGGACCTTTGACAGACTTGCGACCAGGGGCTGGCAGAATAACATATGCTGTCCTTTTTGCAAAAGAGATGATGAAACGGCTCTACACCTTGTTGCTGAATGTCGATACTCAAAAAGGATATGGACCTCTATAGCCAGCTGGGTGGGTAGCTAACTTCTTGAACCCGGCCACTGGGCAGCTACTCAGTCGGTCCTAGAATGGTTGGAAAATCAGGTAAACATGGCAGAGGTGCCTAAGAAGGGACTGCGCACCCTCATCCTCCTCGTCGTGTGGGAAATTTGGAAGGAAAGGAACCAGCGGATCTTCGAGCACAAGGAGTCCACAACTACATACCCGCTTGCTAAAATCAAAGAAGAGGCTAGGCTTTGGATGCTAGTCGGCGCTAAGAGGCTGCGAGAGCTCCTACCGCTTCTTGTATAGTGTATAGCTGTATTAAATTTTTCCTTTTTTATCACTAGGGGTTGTATTTTTCTCCCGCTATATTCAATGAAAAGGCACAGTCTCGTGCTGTTTTTCCTTAAAAAAAACTCTCTTTGCCCAATAGAGCAGTCTTGCACTGTGCCCGGAGAGGGAAGGAAAACACCGGAACGATCACGTACGATAGATACCTCCTCCAATGAGAGGTATATACCTCTTAAGTATATATATATAACTTCAAGAGATATACACTAGGTATATACCTATTGAATCTTATTTTACTATAAAGTTAAAACCCACTAACTTCTAAAACTCAATATGTAAGTGTGCCACATCATTACCCACTAGCAATAATTATTATCTAGATTATTTTAAATCACATACAGGTATGCAACATCATTATTTACTAGAAATTAGTATCTAGAGTATTTTAAATATCATACAAACATGACATATCATTTACAATTTTGTTATATTTTTAGAACTCAACATGCAAGCAATGTTAAATCATTATAGATCCCCACATTATTTAAACATATATTCATTCATATATTCCGCAATAAAGCGTGAGGTATCAACTAGTAGTATATATACCTATACCTCGGAAAAACCAAAAAAAAAGTGAGGAACATAGGCAAGGATGAGTTTCCACTCCTATTCAAACCTGCAAGATTAGTTTTAGTACATCTATTTATGGAGAGAGATATTTTAAGTATGAGGAGGTATATGAGGATGGGAGAAAACCTCATATACATACCATTGAATATTTTGGATGGAGTTTATCTAACCATGTAAGGACATGCATAAAGGTAATTAGTATACTGGAGCATGATATGCTGTGTGTGTGTAAGAGAGAGAGAGAGAGAGAGAGAGAGAGAGAGAGAGAAGATTTAACTCTTTCCCTTAGCGATGGAGGAATCAAAAGACAACACACAATAATAAAGATCATACATTGGAAAATCAATCCCTGATTACCAATTATTCACGGTGGATGGCGACCTGTAACCTTAACAATGCCGTCAAAAGTAGTCGACGGTCAAGATATAGTGGATATAGTGACAGTGGGTGGAGGAATTTGACGAACAAGGGCTCAGGGTGACGGATAGTCTGAAGAATGAGGGGTGATGCCAATATATGAGGGTGGTGTGGGCTTAGGGGCACACAGATGTGCTTGGAGATCAAACATTGGAGGTGTTGGGTTTTGACCAATGGCTTGGTTTTTCGGAGTCATCACTGAAAATCATTGAATGGAGGAGGCTTTCGAGGCTCCATTATGGATAGGAGATGGGCAAAAAGGGGAAAAACAAATTAAACAAGGGATGAGAGAGATGGGGGCGAGGTAGGGTTGGGGGTGGGGGGGGGGGAGGGATAAAAATTCGATAGATAAATTAATTCTTGGAGAACCATCTTCTATTGTAACTATTGTACATGAATTCAGGTTGCATGGACAACTGTACTTACGCAATGCAATATCGGGTTAACTATTGAATATGCCCTATAACGTGGCACGGTTTGGGTTTCAGTTTCGTGCTGATGTGCTGGCTACTGGTGGTACAGTAACAAATTACTCAAATTACTGATGTGCATGGTTTCCAATTGAAAATGCCAAAGGGAACTCACTTTGCGGTTAACTCTACGAGAGTAATGCATTAATAGAGTCAACTTGGGAAAGAATCCAATCATAATAGATATAACACAATATTGCTCTACCTGGAAGGAATTTGTCTAACCCATACAACAACATGTATGAAGGTAATTATGGTATACTATACTAGTCCATAAAGATTATGGTCCTACAGTCGATAGAGCGGCCAGATTTAACGGGTGGTCCTAGTGGTCCCGGACCACCCAAAAATTATTTGGCCCAAGGCTCAGGTAGTTATACTTGTAATCTCTATTATAATAAAAATTGAAGATGTTTTTGTCAGTACTTTGATACGTCATCCGTGTATAAGTTGGTTTTTAAGTTCGTTCGCTTTTAAAAATACATATCCGTATTTGAGTCAGGTTTTAAATTCATTCGTTTTTAGAAATATAATAGGGGTCGTATAAGAAATCTCTTTTTTAAAAAATAACACGCTAACTTGAGATGATCGAACTCATAATTGCAATTCATGATTTTATAGAAAAATATATATCCAAACGAATTCTCATATTGAATTTTACCTTAGCTGAACTGTATAACAATAATAAGACTTAATTAAACTGTATAGCAATAATAAGATTAAAATAACATTCACCCGTTATAATACACGAGTATTTTTTTCTAGTAAAAAGAAAAAAAAGAAAAGAAAGAAAGAGGCGAAGTCGAAGCGATGGTCGTTGCGTCTATCCCCTTCGCGTCTCTCCGCAACGAACTCCGTGCGTGTGTGGGCGCCTGCCATCTTGCTTGCACGCCTGCTGCGTCCACACGTACGCTGCGTCTCTCCGGCCGGCCTTTGGCTTGGCTAGGGTACGAGGGCACTAGGTCAGGGCAGCATCAGCGACCCTGCAGGATGCAGATGCGGCGGCTTCCGCCCGGTGGCAGGGTGCGGCGACTGGCTTTCCGACGTACGTGTGGGCGCAACAGCTAGCTAGCTAGCGTGCAAGCAAGATGCAAGGGATTGGTGTAGCCGTATTGGCAGGTGACTAATGATTAAGCAATCAGATCGTTTAATGATAAATATATATAGTAACATCAGATTTACATAATTAATATTTTAAAATTTTTTGTTATTAATATATAGTCAAAATTTAAAAAAGTAAGTTTGACTTCGCACTATTCTAAAAATGCTTATATTTTAGGACGGAGGAAGTAATCTTCTTTAAATATTTTTAGTCGTATAGTATATATTGGCATAGTTAAATTTATGGTGTTTTATAATTTTTTCTATAAGTCGGACCGTTTGTACCCTAAAATCTAGATACGCCAAGTGGCCAGAGTTAGTAGATCTGGTGACTAATGGTATTGGGGGCAACGGTCGCCAGGCCACTAGACATCAATGGAGATTGCATGGGTTAATTACAAGGCTTTGAAGTCATTTAAGGATATCGTCGAGCTAGGAGGTTTTGAGGCTAAGGAGACAAAAATATAGGAGGCATGGTTGAAAAAATTTGGAAAAGGAAAAGAAAAGGGAGGAGAGACGCGCGAGGAGGGGGGGTAGAAATTCAATGGATACACTTATATACATTTCTTGTTTCAACTGTTGTATACAATATTTGTCAAAAATGATGATTTGTCTACATGGATAACCCACGTGTGCGGAGTGGGCTTAGGTGGTGTTTGGATCCAGAGACTAAATTTTAGTCTATGTCATATCGGATGTTTTAACACTAATTGGATGTATTAAAACGTTGACTAATAATAAAACTAATTGCATAAATGAGAGCTGATTCACGAGATAAATTTTTTAAGCCTAATTAATCCATAATTAGCATATATTTACTGTAGCATCACATAGGCTAATTATGGATTAATTAGGCTCAATAGATTTGTCTCACGAATTATTCCAAGGTTTGTTATTAGTCTACGTTTATTATTTCTAATTTGTGTCCAAACATCCGATTTGGATCCAAACAGAGCCTTAACTACTCAACATGTCCTTTATAGTGGTACAGTTTCTCGCTCATGTTGCAGCTAACCCAATATCAGTGTTTGCAATTTCGGTCCATAATTTTTGATGGAGAACACGGTAGAGAAAACCCCCAGTAAAGAATTATATTAAAAGAGGATAAATACAAAGAAGAATTACAACAGGTTTAACCAGGAGGATATAGGAGAGATCTCTCATCTAAATTTAAACGGTAAATTAAGGAGAGGGAGGTCATTCTTGAAATTCCCCCCGCATGACGCTATTTTGCCCAACTTCCAACTTTTTCTTTTTTTTAGTTTGGTCAAAAATTGTTCAATTTGTTTAAAAAAACGTTCCCAAAAAATTGTAGATTCCGGCGCGCCTTGGCAGAAATATGCAAAATAAACTGCAAACTATAACCCCTACCAGGGTTCACAATTTCGGATCATTTCGGTTCTATCGAACCCCGATATGATATTATTTCGGCCGAAATTTTTATTTTTTTTATTTTTTCCATCAATTTAGTAATATTTTGTTCAAATTTGATCAAATTTTATTTTAAAATTCATATAATTTCGGACGGTACTATTTCGGCCACCACCGATACAAACAACTAAACCGAAAGATAAAACCCTGACCCCTACTATACATTAGCAAATTATATCGTAGGAGTATCACATTTCAATTCAGGTGGTATATCCAGTAACAAGTGCATGCCTCATCTGTCTTGTACTTATCTTTAGCTTATTTCTGATGATTGCAATATATTTATTGTATATGTATCTTTAGAAGCTGATTCATCCTGCAATTACCATACTCCAAATTCAAAATATACTCACCATTTATCATTTGGATATATCTATAAAAGGGCATAAATATAGTATATCACCACTCACCTACACATCTTGGTCATACACTTCACTCGGTAGTATACTCCAAGCTAAGCTTAGCACAAACATGGCGAAACTCATCTTCCTCCTCGCAATGGTGGCATTTGCATCCACCCTCCTCGTATCCATCGCCGGCGCAGCCGACAACTCGACCTCGCCGTCGTCGCCGTCGGCCGACCCGACGGCGTACGACATGCTGCAGAGGTTCGGGTTCCCCGTCGGCATCCTCCCGCAGGGCGTGCAGGGGTACAAGCTCGGCGACGACGGGTCCTCCTTCGAGGTGTACCTCGCCGGCGACTGCGAGTTCCGGGCGGCGAAGAAGTACGTGCTCCACTACAGCAGCCGCGTCGCCGGCCAGATCGCCGCCGGCTCCATCACCTCCCTGGAGGGGGTGAAGGTGAAGGAGGCGTTCGCGTGGTTCCGCATCTCGGAGGTCGACGTCGACGGCGACCAGATCAAGCTCCACGTCGGCCTCTACACCGCCACCGTCGCCGCCGACCAGCTCGCCGTCAGCCCCCAGTGCAACTGACGGCCGCCGGCGATCGATTGATTCATCATTTCTCTTAATTAATTTGTTGCAGTGTTGTTTATTTGATGTGTTCAAGTAAGAGTAATCAATTACGTCATTTTGTTACTGTCACGGGAGGTACTGCGAGGTACCAACGAGATTAATTCACGATACATACGTCGTGGTACCTCCTTAGGAATTGTCAGAAGAAGATTGTAATGGGTTATGTTGAGAGCTGCGATAATTTGAGAGAGACGATGGAAATGGGTGGTGATGTTTTATAAGAACTTTAATACATGGGGAGAGAAAATTTTGTGTGCATGGATAAAATGTTTTTTTTTTATTTTTTGGTTGTCTAGTAACAGTACACAGAAGAAGAGCGTTCATGTCGACGGATGGCATTTTTGTTTACTCATAAATGGTTGCATAAAGATTAGCCTCATATATTCGTGGAATGCAAAAATAGCAAAACCATCAACAACTTCTGTAATTAGAAGAGATATATATATATATATATATATGACACTCATATGGGGCACCATGGTGCCCGGGCACCATGGTTTCAAATGCACAAAATTACTCAAATTTTTCAAAATTTTTAAATTGTGAGTATATACCTAGTTATAAGAATTCGATTCATACATATATCTATCAACAAAACAACTCAAATTTAACTTTATTTCACAATTCATGATTACATACCTAACTAATTATATGTATGGATGCTATATACCTAGAATCAAAATCTAACAAAAACAAGTTCAAATTCAGTTCAAACTTGCTTTGAACTAGTTAGTAAAGTAGTTAATGTTAATACCTAAATAATTGAAAAAGTTTCATACTCATTTGAATTGGTTATATACTCAATTTCAACAATGGTGCCCGGGCACCATGGAGCACCAAACAAATTTACTATATATATATATATATATATATATATGTGTGTGTGTATTTAATATGGTTTGCATATATCCATATAGGGAATTCCGTGGGCATAAAAATTAGTCTATATTGAATACTTGAAACGCTGCTTGCTTTCTCTATTTTATTAGAGTGCCACGTGGCAACATGAGAGTGTTTTGAGGGAGCCACGTGACAGCTTGAGAGTGTTTATAGGGAGTTTCATGGACGTTTAGTATATAATAGATAGATAGATAGATATATATGGTTTACATATATCCATAGGGAATTCAGTGGGCAAAAAAAATAGTCTATATTGAATACTTGAAATGCTGCATGCTTTCATTTAGAAATAAAATGCCAAAAGATCCTACAGAATCGATAATATACTATATTTGCGACCGGATTGATTATTGGGCCATTTTGCACAAGGAGAAGCGAACGCAAAGATGACTACTATAGGGATCGCAACTGCTAAAGCAAGTGGCATGTGAAGTGTTCGGAGAGAAACTTGGATGGAACTTCAATGGCAGAAGGTTACAATGAAGAGTCATTGCTCAGTCAAAAAAAAAAGAAAAAAGAAGAGTCATTGCTTCGTAGAAGAGGACCCATGGCTGTATGATAAAACTAGGCGAAATTTGCTACAAGACATTTAAATTATGTGGTCTTTAGTGGTGGACATCGCAAAAGTTTGGTTCAATCAGTGTGGTTATGATTTTCCTTTAGCATTAGTTGGTCGAGGTGGTTTGGTGTTTAGCATGTGTTGTTTAGCCAGATGGTGGGGTGGGAGCATCTGCGCGAGCTAAAGAAAAAAGGTTTGATATACAGCTATTAGTTTAGATCTTGCAGAGGTGTGAGGTGATGCTCTGTAATGTTCCCTGCTGCATTTCTAGTACTCCCTTTGTTCTAAAGTATAGTAAGTTTTAGCTGCGAATCTAGATAAAAGTTATTATATTTTGAAATAGATGGAGTAACAGAAATGAGAGAGGAATGTCAGAGCAGGTGGTGTAATGCTGAGTATTCAGCTTGCAGCTAGCTGCACTCAGCATGTTTCTGCTATTTTGTCATGGATGTGAGCGCCACTGAAAATAGTCCGGAGGCACCAGAATTCAATTGAGCGTTTCATCCGTTTCTTTTCAGTTCCTTGACCGAATAAGAGGAAAAAGAAAGCCAAGACGTTGCTGAAAGTTTGCAGCACAAACCCTGTCGCTTGCTCTGTCCGTTTTCTTCAGTTTCGTCAGACACTGTAGCAGTTCTACAACCTGTTCAGGTTAGCAGCGATTCACTGAGCGACAGTACGAGAATTTCTGACAAGAAATCGTTCTCTTTCTTTCCCAAAAAAAATAAAAAAATGAGTGTCTTCTGATTTCGGCAGGTAAGGGCTGAGTTCGAACCTTATGTTCTCCTCATGGAAAATGAGGTGACCTATTAGCGCATTAATAATTAGGTATTAGGTAAAAATATTTAAAAATAATTAATATAATTTTTAAAGAAACTTTCCCATAATTTGTTTTACCAAAAACGTATTGTTTAGCAGTTCGGAAAGTGTGCATGCGTAAACGAGAGGGTAAAAAGTTTGGGAAATGGGAGGAAAGAACAAAATCGCTGCTAATGGGCTGAGAACTATATGGGCCATTAGTTGCAGGCCTTCGATAAATCGACATTCCTAACAAGCATACACCTTTAGTTACTTATATGAAATTGCTAATTAGTGCGTACACGCCATCGGCGCAAGTCGCGCGTGTTTCTGGTCCATGCGTTACACGCGGCCCACGCCCACACGTAGCCCATCTCTTCCTTTGTTTTTCTTTTTTTGCAATTTTCTTTTTCTTTTTAGATTTCCTCAGATTTTTCATTGTTTTTTCCGCATTTTTTTTAATTTTCAGTGCATGTGTTTTCAAATATTTGAGTTGAAAGTTTTCAAATTTTGATTTGAAAACTTTCAAATCTTTGATTTCAAAGTTTTCAAATCTTTTAAATTGAAAGTTTTCAAATTTTGACTAGAAAATTTTTCAATCAGAATTAAAAGTTTCAAATATCAAGTTGAAAGTTTTCAAATCTAGAGTCGAAAGTTTTCAAATTTGGGTTGAAAGTTTTCAAATCTAGATTGAGAGTTTCAAATCCGAGACGAAAGTTTTCTAAATCTGAGTTAAAAGTTTTATGTATGTATTATTATTTAAAAAAACTTATACTAACAATTATTATTAGCGCTAATTAATGGTCATCAACACTAATCAGCGTTATTTGAGGAGAAGAGGCCGAGAGGGGGGCGTGCGTGGCTGCGCCAGTTATGCAGCTAGCGCACACGCCCCCATTAGGAATCTCCTTACACTGGTGGAGAAACCATCTTTCGTCGGTCGGCCGATTTCCACAATAGTCCCGGATGCAATAAAAACCGGGGCTAAAGATGATCTTTAGTCCCGGTTCAAAAGGGTAACGGGCATATTTGATCTTTAGTCCCGGTTTGTGTTACCAACCGGGACTAAAGATCATCTTTAGTCCCGGTTCGAATGCTGTCAGGACCTGTCAGGCCCCCCCGGGATCTTTAGTCCCGGTTGGTAGCACCAACCGGGACTAAAGATCTTAACTTTAGTCCCGGTTGGTAATACCAACGGGACTAAAGATCCCGGTGATCTTTAGCCCCGGTTGGTGCTACCAACCGGGACTAAAGTCCCACCCCTATATATATGTCTTCTTCCTCCTCCAGCTGCCCGAGCAAGCTTCAAAATTTCTTCAAAAAAGAGGGGAGGTCATGCCAAAATTTCTATTGAATTTATTTTGGTGATTACATACAAATCGGAGGTGCCTAAAAGGTTTGCAACTTCATCCTCCAATGTTTTTTTTGTCATACTACATTTGCACCTATGTTTTGCACACTTTTTTTGTCTCCAAAATTTAGTTGTAAGTTGATGAGAGAGAAAATGTGTGTGGGGAAGAAAGAATATATAGAAATTTAGTTCATTTGCTAAACAAGGTTTTATAAAATAGTTGAGAAGGAAAACTCTAGTGAAAGTTAATATTAAAGAATAGAAAACAAACTAAAATAAAAATTAAAGGAAGTAAAACACATTAAAATTAGTTTAAAACTTTACAAATAGTTTTTAAGAATTATTTGGTGTAATATTTTATGATTTTTGTATGAATAAAGATATCTTATAATTATTGTATGACTGTCATTATTGTAAGAATAATTATTTGTGTGCGGTTTTTTTGACTCATGTAGATGGATCGGCAATGGATGTACGCTGACCGGCGGTCCAAAGAGTTTATTGACGGCGTGCACTATTTTTTGAGAGTGGCCGAAGCTAACAGGCAAAGGGGTTTTATTTGTTGTCCATGCAATAAGTGTAAGAATCAGAAGGAGTATTCTGCATCCAGGACTATTCATTTCCACTTGTTTGAGTCGGGGTTCATGCCAAGCTATAATTGTTGGACATCCCACGGAGAGCAAGGTGTTGAAATGGAAGAAGATGAAGTGGAAGACGACAATATTCCGGACTTTGCTCAGTATGTTGGATTTGAAGGAAATCAAACGGGCGAGGAGGAAATAGCTGCTGATGGTAACGACGTTGCGGATGATCTTGGTCAGATGTTGCAGGACGCCAGGGAAGACTGCGAAAGTGAAAAGGAGGCCCATAAATTGGACAAGATGTTGGAGGACCACAGAACTTCGTTGTACCCAGGTTGCGAGCAGGGGCACAAAAAGTTGGATACCACTCTGGAGTTGTTGCAATGGAAGGCAAAAAATGGGGTTAGTGACAAGGCATTTGGCGATTTATTGAAACTCGTCAAGAACATTCTTCCGGGGGGAAACAAATTGCCCGAGACAACGTACGAGGCTAAGAAGATAGTCTGCCCGTTAGGACTGGAAGTTCATAAGATTCACGCATGTCCGAACGATTGTATCCTATATCGCGGTGAGGAGTATGAGAACCTAGAAGCATGCCCTGTTTGCAAAGCACTACGATACAAGATTAGACGGGACGATCCAGGAGAAGTTGACGGGCAGCTAACAAAGAAGAGAATTCCTGCTAAGGTGATGTGGTATTTCCCTATAATACCACGGCTAAGGCGTTTGTTCAGGAACAAGGGGAATGCTAGAATGTTGCGATGGCACGCTGAAGAGCGTCAACAGGACGGGATGCTGAGACACCCCGCCGATGGTTCGCAGTGGCGAAACATCGACAGAAAATTTAAAGAATTTGGAAAGGACGCACGAAACATATGGTTTGGTTTGAGTACGGATGGCATGAATCCTTTTGGAGAGATGAGCAGCGGCCATAGCACTTGGCCCGTTACGATGTGTATCTACAACCTCCCCCCTGGCTATGCATGAAGAGGAAGTACATAATGATGCCGATTATTATTCAAGGCCCCAAGCAACCTGGTAACGACATCGACGTGTACCTAAGACCACTGGT